TTCATTTGATGTGTGGAAGGGTTTTAAATTTGATGCAATATTATTTATTGTTTTTCAATATTCTTTCCTGAGCTACAGGAGTTCTGTTCAGAAAGATATCACCTGCACCCACAAGTTGAACCATTTTCCCTATGTTTTCTTCTATCAGTTGCAGTGTTTCTGATCTTATTTCAATATCTTTGATCCGTATTGATTTGACATTTGTGCAGGGTCAAAGACAAAATATTAGCTTCATTCTTTTACATATAGAAGTTAATTTTTCCCAATAGTATTTATTAAAGAGGCTATATGTTCTTGAAATTTTCTTTTTGGCACCTTTGTCATAAATCAGCTGACTCGGGGTTTATAGGTAGAGCACTTGCCTAGCACATGTGAGGCCCTGGGTTTGAATCTTTGGACCACATATCAATAAACAAAGGCATGCTGTCCATCTACAACTACAAAAAAATTAAAAAGAACTAAATCAAACTGGCAAAGTTAAAAAAAATCAGTTGACTCTTTGTGTGTTTCCTTTCATGACTTCTATTTAATTACATTGTTCTACATGTCTGTTTTATTAAAGTACCATTTTTTTTGCTATACTTCTTTAGCATAATTTGAAATCAGCTATTATTATGGGTACAGCATTGTTCTTTTTTGGTAAGAACAAATTTGACTATTCTGGGCTTTTGGCCATCTGCATTAATTCTATAATTTTTCCTAATTCTGTGAATAATGCATTGAATCAATATATTGCTTTTAGTAATATGGTCATTTTAATGATATTTATTATGCCTATCTATGAACATAAGAGATCTTTACATTTTTATGGTGTCTTCTTCTATTTCCTTATTTAATGTTCTGTAATTTTCTGTGTAAAACCTTTTACTTGTTTTGTTAAAATTTTCCTATTTATTTTTAGGTTTTTGAGACCTGTTTTACTGATTTTACTGTATGGACCTGTTTTACTGATTTCTTTCTCAGAGGAATCATTGTTTGTGTGTAGAAAAATATATTGATGTTTGTATATTGATTTTGTATCCTGACACTTAGGTATGCTTATCAGATCTAGAAGTCTTCTGTTAGATACTTTAGTGTCTTCTAAACATAGGATTATATCATCTTCTAATTGTAATAATTTGACTTCTTCCTATCCCGTTTTTGCTTTTTTTATTTCTTTCACTTGCCTAATTATTTTGACTGAAATTTCAAGTACTATATCAACTAGGAATGGGGAAAGTGGACATAGTTTTTTTTCCCTTAATTAGGAGAAAATTCTTTCAGATTTTACTCATTCAGTATGATGTGGCCTTTATGTTTGTCATGAATGACCTTTATTATGTTCAGGTAAATTCATTCTATCTGCAGTTTTCTCAGGTTTTTGTTTTATTTTGTTTTGTCTTTTATTTGGTTGGGTTTGCTTTGTTTGTTTTTGTCATGAAGTAGTGTTGAATTTTCTCAAAGTCTTTTCCTACATCTACTGAAATGATTATGTATTTTTATACCTGATTCTATTAACATGGTGTATTGTGTTTATTGATTTGAGAATATGGAACCATTCTTGCACCACTGAGTTATACCAACCTGATCATGATATATGATGCTTTGTTGTGTGACTGAATTGCATTGATGAGAAATTTGTTAGGAGTTTTCATCTATGAACATCAAGAGTATAGTTGATCTTAATTTTATTTTCATCATATGTTCTTATCTGGTTTGGGTATCAAGGTGAAACTGACTTTGGAGAATAAGATTCAAAGTTTCCCCTCCCTTTGTATTTAATATAATGATTGGATGTGCATAGGTATTAGCTTTCATTAAAGATCTGATAAAATTTAACTGTGAATCTATTGATCCATGTGATCTTGGGGTCTTCTTTGTTTGGAGGCCTCTTATTAATTATTCAGCCTCATTGCTTGCTATTTTTATTTGTTCTTTTTATATATACATGACAGCAGAGGGTATTTTGACATATTATACATACGTGGAGTGTAAAATATTCTAACTAGGATCCCTTTCTTGTGGTTTTACATGATGTGAAGATTCTCTGGTCATGTATTCATATATAAAAATAGTGAAGTTTATGTCTAATTAATTCTACTTCCCTCCCTATTTATATCCCCCTTCTCCCCCCTCATTCTCCTTTGTCTAGTCCATATAAATTTCTGTTCTTCCCTTCCCTCCCTTATTGTGTATCAGTATCCACATATCAGAGAGAACATTTGGCTTTTGTTTTGTTTTGTTTTGTTTTGTTTTGAGGATTAGCTTATTTCACTCAGCATGATAGTCTCCAGTTCCATTCATTTACCAGAAAATGCCATAATTTAGTTTTCTTTATGGTTGAGTAATATTCTATTGTGTATATATACCACATTTTCTTTATCCATGCATCTGTTTCAGAGAACCTAGGTTGGTTTCATAGCCAAATCATCGTTCATTGCTTAGTATTCGTCTGTTTAATTTTTCTATATTTACTTTTGTCAATTTTAGTAAATCAGATGTATCTATAAATTCACCTATTTCTGATATTTAAATTTTGCATACTCACTTTAATGCCACTTGTTCTGTATCTTCATGTTATTTCATGATGTACTTCTATCCGAAAATATGGTATTCAATCTTTATGTGTTTGTATGTTTCTGTAGACTTTCTTGCTTTTAATTTCTAATTTCATTCCATTATGATCCAATGTGATCTGAAAAGTTATTTCAAACTTTTTTTGTTTTGCTAAGACTTGCTTTTTGTTCTTAATTATGATCTGTTTTGGAGAAAGTTCCACAAGAAGCTAAAAATGTGGATTCATATTTTGCTGAAAGAAATATTATATAAATGTCTACTAAGCCCATTTCATATAGTATGTTTAAATCTGTAGCTACTTATGCTTGGTTCCAGATCCTATTTGAACAAAATATCATTTTCTATAGTTTCACTGTCTTTTTGTGAATGTCTTTGCCAATGAAATGTAATGTATTTCAGGCAACATCTAGTTGAGTGTTGCTTTTGAATCCAATCTTTCAATCTATGTCTTTTATTTGGACAATTTTAATTCTGTGTTATTATAGAAAGATTTGTATTACTTCATGATTTTTTTATACTTAATATTTGATTTGATCTTAATTCTCACTTGTCTATCATTACTCTTTTAATGATATTTGTTGCTTCCTAAAGTTTCTTATTGTTTATATCTTCTTCTGTGTTTAGAATTTCTTTAAGTATCTTCCAAAGTGATGGTTTTGTGAACATGAATGCTTTTGTTTTATGCATATTTTGTTATTTGGTATTTGTTTTATTATACTTATTTATTTTTTTCTTTTAATATCTAGTTTCCACATATTAGAAAAAACATTTATAATACCTGACATTCTGAGTCTGCCTTATTTCACTCAATGTGATGTTATCTAGTTTCTTCCATTTACCAGTAGATTAGATAATTTTGTTCTTCTTTATAGTTGAAGAAAATTCCATTGTGTATATATGTTACATTTTCTTTATCTATTTACCTACCTTTGAAAGACACCTTGTTTGGTTCCATAACATGGCTCTGATGAATTGGGCTTCTATATACATGAGTATGCATACATCACTAAAGTATGCTGATTTTAATTAATTTGTATAAATACTGAGGAATGATATAAATGGGTCTCATAGACCTTTTACTTCTAGTCTGTTGTGGAATCACCATTATAATCTTCATAGTGGTTTTACTAATTTAAATTTCCCCCACATCCTCACCAGTTTTTACTTTTACTTGTATTTTTTGTACTGCAAAATGAACACAAGGATGCTTTATCACAGTGATATATCCCTAATCCATTTTTTAAAAGACAGTCTTACTATTTTGCTGAAGGTCTCACTATATTGCTGAGGCTGTCCTTGAATTTGCAATCTTCTTGTCTCAGCCTCATGAGTCATTGGGATTACAGTCATGCACCATCATGCCAGCTTGTTACTTGTAATCTTTATATTTGGCATGCTAACTGGAGTGAAAGAAATCTCAGTGTAGTTCTAATTTGCATTTTCCTGTTTGTGAAGAATGCTGAATATTTTTTATAAACTTTTGGGTCATTTGAATTTCTTCTTTTAAGAATTTTCTATTTATTTCATTTGTGATGTGCTATTAGTATTTTTGGTGTTGACATTCTGAGTTCTTTATATATACTGGATATTAATTCTATATCAAAAGAGTAGCTGGCAAAGATGTTCTCCCATTATGTAGGCTCTCTCTTCAGGATCTTTTATACTTTGTTGTGCAGAAACCTCCTAATATGATGCCATCACATCTATTGATTCTTGGGATTATTTCTTAAGCATTAGGAGTCACATTGAGAAAGTCAATACAAGAGCATATATATTGAAATATTGACCATAGATTTTCTTCTGTCAGTTACTAAGTTTCCTAGTTTTTTTATCCACTTTGATTTGACTTTGTGTAGGGTGAGAAACAGGCATTTACTTTTCATTCCTCATAGGAAATCCAGTTTTCCAAAGATTGTTTGTTAAAAAGACTGTCTTTTCTTCAATGTAGTTTCTGGTACCTTTTTCAAAGCTTATATGATTGTATCTGTGTGGTTTTAGATGAGGAATACATTTAAACAAGTGCCAGATGACTCCTTAAAATGAAATAATCCCTAAAGTTATCACAAAACAAACTCTGACATTTAGACTTGGTGTTCTAGGTACTGTGTAGTCATCAATATATTAATTAAGATACAAGCCAAGTGACATTCCAAACTTCAATAGAGAGTAGAACAGGAGTCCCTGTTTTGATATATCTCTATATTTCATCTCTCAAGGCATAGCATATTTATACATAATATCAAGAGGTCAAGACTATTTGGTAATCTCCAAGAACTTTGAACAAGTTACATTTTTAGTTCCCTTTCAGAATTTCTATTTTACATATTTTAAAAGATCACATATGTGCAACAAATATATCAACTGATACAAGGGTTTATAATTTAACATGTTTTATTGTTAAGATTTTAAACTTCACAAATCCAATAAGATAAAAAGGTATCATTTGTTACAGATCATTGGACAATTCTAAAGTTAAATTTATAGTATTTTCATCACACTAAAATATTCATGTTAATTGGATGTAATTATAACTGAATAGGCACTAATAGCCATAGCATGGAAGGACAATTAGCAGTTACTGAATTTTTTATTCGGTGAGCATAATTATACCAAGATATTGTCTGAATATGAGTCACCAAAAATATATCTTTGACTTATAGAAAATTTAAACATACCTATGATATATCTTCATTTATTAATTGTGACTAGTCTAATAGTTCCAGTTAGGGGGTTGACATACTTACCAGAGCATATACAAATCCTCAGAAGGAACAACACTTCAGCTTTTACCTTATTGGTGATTTCAATATGATGGTCTATATTTTTATTTTTGATTCTGCTACAAATTAATAATTCATATATATTTCCCCATAAATGTTACATTAAATTATCCTCAGATATTTCATTATTTCTTATTAGTATCTTTAAGATAAGATAATATTTTAAAGAATAGATAGATGTGGTCTAAATAATTAAAGACATACAGTTGACAATACAGGAGTAAACAAAATATTCTTACTATATTAGCCATTCTTCCTAAGTAATAACATTTAACAGGGCTAGGGTTGTAGCATTTGCCTAGTTTATGTGACGTACTGGGTTCAATTCTCAGCACCACATATACATAAATAAAAATAAAGGTTTATCAACAACTAAAAAATAGTAAAAAAAAATGAAAAAAGAAAATTAACATAGTTGACTATCAAAGGACAAGGAATATTTTCCCAAAAATAGATGTAAACGTTCCCATCCTTCAGGCCAGAACTACCCATCTCTGTATATATCTTGTCCCATGTCCCTTTATTAAGATGAACTATTTTATTTTGAATTTTGACCTATAACTGATTTTTGTTGAAGTATAGCATTCTATTTTTTAACATATTATCAATCTCATGCTCAAGTACAGATCTTTCTGTGCTGGAAGGATACACAATCTGGGATATGAAAATATACTTTTCAGATGTAACTTCAGATGTAACTGTTTCCTATTTATTCCATTAAATCCTGCATGTATTAATTCAATTCTCACTTTGCAATATCTGTCTGTTTAGGGAATCAAGAAGAAATATTTTTATGTTTCCTGTTATATCTCTAAAACCTTGAAATTAAGAACCAATATTTTCTGTCTGATATGTTACTGATGGGCAATTGATTATTTCAAAAGTAAAACTCACTTCTTCATAAACAGGAAACAGATTACTTCAAATCCAGTCAATTTTGGAAACACTGAAAATTAAATCATGGTGCCAGTGTTTGAAATTATACTCTTCCTATTTTTAAATTAATTCAGAAAACCAGAGCCAGTCTTTTGATTTATTCAACCTAAGACTAAGTTAAAACTCACTGTAGTCCCCTTAAAAATGATGTACTTTAAATCTTACTCTTTCAGCATCACCCTGAAAATTCCATTCACTTGTTAATGTCATGTAAGGAATATATATATAATACATATACATATATATGATAATTAATGTTCTCAGTGCTTGGCTAAGACCAAAATCTGAATTTTTTTTCAACTTCGTTCAACCATTAATCAGAATTCTACCCAGATATCACTGTGGTCTTTTGCCATTTTATTTCATTCACTTCTGAAACTCAAGCCCCTGGCCAATAAAATGGAACATAATCCCTGACATGCATACAAAGGGAGTTCCAAAGGCAGCAAATATGAATGACCATCCATATTGCACATCAATGATGACATTTTCTGGGACACACCTGTTGCTCCTTTCTATAGATATGTACTTTGGAAAATCAACAGCATATTCCTTCCATAATACAAACAGGCTGAGTATCAGGCTAAATAGGGCCCCTGTAGAGGAAAAGGGAAAAAAAAACATTTATTTCTAATTTAAAGACAGAAAATATGTTTGACAGTACATTAACCTGGATTTTTTATTTTTGGAAGAACTTTTTATAATTACCCCTGAGGTCAGTAAAATTATTAACATCACATGTGAAATGTTATCCTTGTGGGCAACGTCAACTAATACTTTGAAATAAAAAAAAAGTAAACTAGGGAGTTTTCTTTGTTCCCATACTAACGTTTTTATGGCTATTACTACCCTAATTGGAACAAGACTTAAGGCTCTATCAAATCTAGAAGCAGTGAAATAGACAATCAATCTATGTCTTTTGTATTCTCCCTTTTTTTACTTAGTTTTCCAAATGCACATAATTCACTAAATGTTTACATTTATAAAATTCTTATTCTAAAAATAGTATGCATTTTAATATAAATAACTCAGTAGTGAAACTAGCTAACATTTTCTTCAAATCTTCAAAAAATTAGATTCACTATAAAGATATGTTATAGGGAGTTATAGCTGCCATACACATTTGTTTGCTGCCATTTACTGCTGAGGTAATCCAAATCCCAGTATGATTGCACAGACCTGCAGCATAGCCTAACAGTACCCTACATTGCATAATTGCTTTAAAATATCTAATGACCTCAAATGAATTTGTATTATTTTTAATTTTCATAGGGAGAGATTATCCCTACAAACTTTAAAACCACTGAAATAAGGCAGTAAACACTGTCCGATAAATTTCAATCTTTGTATTGTGTCAGAATTATCAAGCATATAAGTACCCTTCCAGATTAATTTTATTGAATTTAAGAGGACATTATACAGATGATGATTATAAACCAACAGATTGCACTCTTAAGAAGAGAACACTAGACATTTGTGTAGTACTCTTTTACTCGTGGATTGCATAAGAAACTAACAAATAGAAAACCTCAAAAATAATTTGAGACAAATTTCTATTTAATATTATATTTGAGACAAATATATATTTTTAATTGATATATTAATATACAATAATTAATATATTATTGAATAATAATATATTATATAGTATATTTGAGAAAAATTACATATGGCTCTAGTTAAGGTTTCATGGATGCTTATTGACAAAAATATATGCTAAGTCATCTACAACTTCTGTAATTCCAGGTTAACAGTATTTGTCTCATCAGATAGATATGTAACATTCTAAGCCTGACACTTTTAGAAGTCCCTTTTCACTCATCAATTACTAGATTATGATTTAGTGAGGTAGCCACGACTTAAAAGCCATTTTTGCTCTGACTTAATATCCTTTTATATTTCTTGAGTACCTATAATATTTACCTAATTGATTACCTATTGTTGTTCATTGTAGTTTATTTCAAAATTACTAAGAGTATATTTTAGAGTATCATACCACAAAAATGATAGTTATATAAGCTGATAGATTTGCTAATTGACCTGATTTAATCATTCCACATGATAAACATATATCAAAATGCTACATCATACCTCATAAGTACACACAATTGTGTATGAATTATGACAAATAAAAAAGAAAATATTTAATAGTTTTCTATTAATATCAAGACAGTATATGTGAAGATAGAGTGAAAAATATTAATCATAATACAAGGTGATATTATATTAATATTAATGAAATAATAAAAATATCACTAAGAACATAAATGTATAAAAATTAAATAAAATATAAAGAGATATTGAATATATTAAAGTGCCTTGAAGTTCTAGGACTGTATTCATCATTCAATAAGTGATAGCTATCATAAGTATAATTTCATACATCAACAAAATAAGTAAATAGACATTTTTCTGGTACCTAGGATTGGATTTAGCCCCTCTGCTGATTAGGCAAGCACTATACCACTGAGCTACATCACCAGATAGGATGTCACGTTATCCAGGCTGGCCTTGAATTTGCCATCCCCCTGCCTCAGTCTCCTGAGTAGCTGGGGTTACAGGAAGGTTTCATTAGGCCCAGCTTATAAATAGAATCAAGTAGGTATTGTAAAGTTAAATGGTGCCCTTTGGAAATATTTTCATGCAATCTAATATAACACTTGGATAATTTACTAGAATTCACATAATTTGAACAAGTTCCTTCCTCTTAAACATTGTAGAACTATATATGCATTTAGAATAGGAGGATTACAATTTTAAGGCCAGCCTGGGTATCATATAATTCATTGTTATTTGTCTGAAATGGGATATTTGTAATATTCTACATAATTAGATAGGCATTTCTATGTGCTAGAGTAGAAGGGCTTAAACAGTTTAAGTGGATTATTAAATTACTGTGAGAAATATCTGCTCCATCATGGAAACAACACATAATATTTAGACTCTAAAAGCATGATTTCATTTGGCATATATAATATACCTAAAACTTATTTATTTACTAGAAATCCTTGATAACATTTCTTTGGAAATCAAAATAAAGTTACAAAAAATATAAAGAGGAATTTCCTTAAATATGAACTCACCAGTTTTCATTAAGCATGAGGTTGGCATTTTGGCATTTTTCCAAAATCTAAAAATAGCTTCAATTTATGTTTAGTGTTAAAAGTTATACAAAGTTTAATAAAAAATGTTGTAATTGTACTTACATATCTTTTATTATTCTTTTATTATTTTTATAGAAATTATTCTCCACACTTTGGCTCAGCTACTGACTTCCATGTTTTATCATGAACATACTTTTTATGAAGGCTTACATTCTTATTCTAAGATATATATTTCTATAGTATTTAACATGGTACTGGAGAGAGAAAGCTGAAAAAATATTTATTTTATGGGAAATAATTAAATTCATCAAAAACACGAATCTTGCTATCTGTTCATTTTCAATGTAAAAAATATAGAGAGTAATGAAACTTTCCTCAACACAAATAATAAATCGCCAAGCTGTTTAAATGCCTGAAATTTTTTCTCTGGCTTATTCTTTATGTTTAAAATCAATAAGCAAATAACTATTTTTTCTTGATCTCAAAATGGCATAGGTGTATACAGTGTCATAAATTAAACAGAAAGCTCTAGAAATCAAAATTATTAAACTTTGGTGTCTACTTTCAAATTCCAAATAAGCAACATCTAACTCAGGTAAATTGTCAAGTATTTCTTTAATAATTATGCTCCTGTTGCAATATCATTCTAATAACAAAAGAACAATCAGTAGATATTTGTTCAAAGTGACTTGAGGAACAATATGTGTTATGGTTTGAAACTAAAATGCCCCTATAAGCTCATATGTTAGAAGCATGGTCCCCAATAGAACAAATTTAGAGGAGGGGCTCTTAGGCAATGACTAGGATTCTAAATGCATCAGTGACTTACTTCATTTGAAGGATTAGTCCATTGAGAGTTCAATAGAATATTCTATAGTAATTGTAGGCAAGTGAGTTGTAGGTGGAAGAAGTAGGTCACTGGGGGAATGACCTTGGACTATATCTGTCCCTGGCTTCACACTGTCACTGTCTGAATCCCAGCTGCCAGGAGCTTAACAGTTTCCCTCTGCCTTGCCCTTCTACCATGATGTTCTGCATTAACTTGGGCCCCAAGCAATACAATCAGTGAAACATGAACTGAACACCTGAAGTGATTAGTTCTAAATAAACTTCTTATTCTGAGTTTTCCTTGTCAGGTATTTTTCAAAGTGACAAAAAGATTAACACAGTGTAGTAGTGACAGAGAAAAGAACTAAACTTGGAATCAGATAATTGGGTATAAAGCCTAACCCTTTCACTCACTGACTGCATGATATTGATCAAATCATTTCATTGCTTCAAGATTAAATGAGAGTTTCCCCAGCTATTATGAGAAATATTTATTTACATTATAAAAGTAAAAGTGATATGCATCAGATAATAAATTTTTCTTGATATCTAGGGGATAAATAGTTTTATTGATGTTTCTACACATGTGTGTAAAAAAAAGTCAACTTATCAACAGATACAAGGCAATAAGCAAGTTTTATGTTTTGGATTTGATCACCAAGAACAAACTTAATAAAATTGTCTACATAAAAAGAATCTTTCCTTTTAGAAATTGACAGTGTTACAATAATCAATACAAGATAATTTAGATAGTATTTAAATAATTTTACAACATTCGAGTTGCTCGAGGCCACTAGAAACAAAGAAATAGGAGTCTTAAATCTTCAGAATTCAACAGTTTTAATGTCCCACACATTATCACAACAAACATTGGGAATTTTTCACATGTATTAATAATAAAATAAACAAAAATTTTCAAAATATAAAACAATTTTTATCAAATTTTCTAAATTGATGCTTGGGCAAACAGTTTCATTGGTGAAATTTTTAAAATTGACACATACTATTTGAACATATTTATTATATGTTTACAAAGCATAATGATTAAGTCATGGTAATTAGCCTTCTATCCTGTTAAATATTTTTAATTTGTGTCAATATATAATTATATATTTCATTAATAACTAAAAGAAACATTAAAAAGAACAGTCATGGATTTTTCATTAATTTGCTTCAGGAAAAAATTAATAAAATTTCTGTCATAAATAGATTGATTGAAAAAATACTAACTGCTTTGATGGAGGTAGCAAATGAAAGTAAAAGAATTGAATTTGGACCAATTGTTGAACAATAGATTTGAGTTAAGTTTAACATTTGGGTTGGCTTTGGTTGAAAGGAAAGGATTACCCAGTATTAGAAGAGCATCACATCATTCAGAAATTTCTTTGGTCAAAAGAACACTTTAAGCAACATTACCTGGAATAAATGTATAAAAAAGTCATTGGGAGAATGGGGAATTATTTTCTTACATTTGTGCAGTTATACTGAAAAATACTAGATAACTAGGAGGCTAGGGAAACACTCATATACCAAAAGAAGATCATAATGAATTAGGATTTGAATGATGACAATTAAAATAGTAAAATAAAGAACATTTCCAAAAGAAACTATACAAGCTGGGTGCAGTGGTACATGCCTGTAATCCCACCAGCAGTAGTCTGAGG